TTATAAACTCTTCCCACACCTACAAACCTTTCTCACTCTTATTAACCTTTTTCTGAAATTTCAACCAGACACAGAGCGCGTTCAGTAAGCTTTATTTTGAAAAGACTGGTGGAAGTCAGCACACGTCTGTGGAAACGCACTGGAAAGTTTCGCAGTTTCGAAACAGGAAAGTCCAGGGCACCGAAACTTGGTCAGGATGAGGTCAGTCAGGAGCATGAGATAATCGCTGGACATTTACTTGTGTGAAGAGTTATGCTGATCACAGTGGAGCAGGTGGGCGTGGTGAACAGACAGGCAGGAATCATGACATTCCCACACTTTGGTGATGAAGATGATGATGAGATGAATGTACAGTACTGCACAGCATGTTCAGTACACACACTATAAAAATTAGTTTAAAAACACACGATACAGTGAACCTGCAAAAAAGTGAACCGCCGAACAGCGAGGGATGACTGTACATATTACAGAAAAGGGTGTTGACGTTGGGAGGCCTGAGAGTGAACTGTGCTTATTACTGTGAGCAATCTTCAAAGATGAACCACTCATCAAATCATCAGCCATTTTTATCTTACTGTATACATTTGGCTTCAGGTACAGATACCAATATATATTTTACTGACTGAGCCTTCTTTTGTTTATATTTTACCCCCAGCTGATAATTCAAATGTCCAGACAATAAAAACAGAGGGGTCCTCCCTGGTGGAGACCTGTATATTTGATGGTCAGATCAAATCTTTGTCCCCTGAGCAAACTGACTGCTCTGATCAGCCTTCCAAACGGCAGGAGGACACACCTATGGAAGTGTCTAGCAATCCTTCACCCACAGACGTTTTCAAGGTAAGCTGTATTTATTTAATGAAGACTGTATTACTTATAAATCAGAAAGCCAGTACCGGTAGTTAATAACTTTGCTTCCCCTCTTAGTCATCCCCTGACCCGCTCATCTCCGTGCAGCAGACCCTGGAGCTCAACTCTAGTCCTCATCCAAGTGGCGGGTCTTTTGAGAGCCCAATGCCCCTCCAGCCTGAAGATGTAGAGCTTCCCCAAGCACCTCCTGTCTTCTCTGGTCTAGAGTCTCTCAGCGCCATACAAAAGCAAGATATTAGTTCCACAACCTCCTTCCCAGTTTCAGGAGATACCACTATCCCCCCTGTAACACCAGAGGTTCCTCAGCAAATCCTTAGAGATCCTCAGGAAAGCTTGTCTCCTGAAAGCTCTGATAATAGTGGAAGCATTGTGGTTGTAGCCATGCCTCAAATTGGAGCTCCTTCTCAACCACAACCCCAACAGTCACAGGTATCCCTGTTTCCTCAGGAAGGAGTGGCCCAACTTGAGAGGGCAGTGAGGGAGCTGCAGGCTGGAAGTAACCCCACGCTCCAGCAGGTGCTGGAAGCAGCTGTAGTGCAGCAGCAGCTGAATTCTGTCCTTTACAGCCCCACACCTTCTGCAGAATCCTTACAGCAGCATGTTCAGGAGAACATGAACAGCCTCAGATTGGGAACCACAGAAAATTCGCTGTCTGCTCAGCAGCAGTTACAGATGCAGCAGCAGCAACAACAAATGCAGCAGCAGTTTCAGCAACATCAACTTCAGCAACAACAGCAAATCCTTGAAAACCTACAGCAGCAGCAACAGCAGCAGCAGCAAGTTCTCAACAACATGCAGCTCCAACAACAACTTATATTACAGCCCCAAGATCAACAACTGCAGCAGCAGCAAATCATTGAGAACATTGCACAGCAGCAGCTGCAACAAAATCAGCAACAAGTACTTAACAACATTCAGCTTCAGGATCAGCAACAACAAAATCAAATGTTTGCTAATTTACAACAGCATCAACTACAACAGCAGCAGCAGCAGCAAAATCAAGCATTGAGTAACTTACAACAGCAACAACAGCTGCAGGAGCAGCAGGTCTTAGAGAATCTGCAGCAGCGCTTACAAGCCGAGCTGCTTCAGCCACAGATTCACTCCTCTGCCCAAACACAGCAGCCTGTCTCCCTCCTGCAGCAGGCTGGGGAGCTGCTTACCATTCAGACCAGCTTTCCAACACAGCCTCCGTCCCACACATCGCCCCCACAACAACTCTTCCAGTCACCCAGACCTCTGGCTGAGGCCCAGAGTACTCAACAGCAGGTCCAGGCTGCCCTGCTTCAAAACACACTGAGTGTTCTCACTGGTGGGAGTCTCAGCTCAGAGCAACCGACCACAGCCTCGACCATATATCTGTCCACAAATCAGCCCCAACAGCAGCAGCAGCAGCCACAGCTGGCATTCATCTCTTCTATGGAGACCTCTAACAACCAGCCCCAGTCAGTTTCAATGTTTCAGAACGAACCCCGAGCTCAGCTTTCCCAGATGCAGCCACTGAGCACCCCAATGGAGCAGCAGCAGTCCCCACAGCAAAACCAACAGCAGCCACAACAAATTCCAATGAGCCAGCAGGCCTCTCTGTTCCAGACTATTCCAAACCACTCACAAACAAACCCTGTCCCCCACAGCCAAATTACACAACCCCAACAAACAGGCCTGCTTCTCTGTACTACAGATCTAAATCCACAAGCTATTCTCTTCAGTACCCAGAGTCAAGGTCCTTCCCCTATAGGAAGCATTAGTGTTGGAATCTCCCAGCCAGACTCCACAGAGCCCATGTCCTTCCAAGTCCAGAGCTCTTCAGGCAGCAACTCATCATCCCCTGCAAACCAACAGCAGAGTTTATTTCAGGAACAGCAGCCAATGCAAGTGACGCCAAGTCCCAACCAAGTCCCCAGCAATCAACCTATGAAGCTGTTCATACCGCAGACATCTCTGTCGAGCTTGCAGGGCACCATCGGCTCACAAGAGCTGAACACAGAAGCTTCAGCTCCTGCTGCGACCATCTTTGTGGTTCAAGGTGGCATGGGTGTGGTTGCCAACCCGGGTCAGCAGCCCTCGGAGCAGCTTTTCCAGACTACGGTTGGTGGCCCTGTAGCTCCACAAGGACAGCCCAAACTGTTTCTTTTTGGCATCCAGAATGGTAAGATGATTTTAGTCTTAATTAGTTTGATTCTTGTAAAATGGGGTTGTGTAAAAGCTTTGCTTGTTGATAGCGGTGGAGAAAGAATATTCAGTTGGAGAAGGAAGTTTTTAAAACATAGCCAATAAATTAAAAAAATTAATAAATAACAGAATTTGGGCCACAAAAAAATTTTCCTCTTGTCAAAAATCTCAAACCTCAAAAATTGTCCCTGTGGTTCAACAAACACTGCATTTCAAGAGCTTTTGTTTACACCACGTTGCCTTTCCTGCTGATGTTCATGTTTATTCTTTTGTCATTGTTTTCTCAGCCCAACTCTGAGATAGTAAACTAAGTACGGATGCACGATATTGGATTTTTTTTGGCCGATATCCGATATGTTAAAACTTATTTGGCCGATAACCGATGCCGATATTTTATATACGTTCCTTTGTCAGAACATAGCCCTCTTATTTAGGCTTATTTGCTACAAAAAATGTGCACCAGTTGTAAGAGCTGGTGACATATATTCAGTAACAGTCATATGATATGCATAGCACTTTAACTTATAGTAAATGAAAAGTGTTAAATCTCTTCGTCTTCATCTTCAAAGTTCTTCTTCTCACTTTCAAATCTATCCACAACCTTGCCCCTCCGTACTTATCTGACCTCCTACACATCTCCATCCCCTCTCGCTCTCTCAGATCCTCCTCTTCACTACACCTCCATGTACCCTCTGCCCGCCTCTCCACCATGGAGAGCAGGGCCTTCACCTGCTCTGCTCCTCATCTCTGGAACTCTCTACCCCCTGACTTACGAAACACCACCTCTCTTTCTCTGTTCAAGACTGCTCTGAAACACATCTCTTTAGACTCGCTTATCCTTAACTTTGCTGTATGTATTTTATATTATTTATGTATTTTATATTCTGTATGTATTTTATATTCTTTATGTATTTTATATTCTGTATGTATTTTATAATCTTTATGTATTTTCTTACTGAAAAGTGTCCTTGGGTGTCCTGAAAGGCACTTTTTAAATAAAATGATTATTATTATTATTATTATTATTATTATTATTATTATTAAATGTTATTTATTAGCATTAGTCACCTGCAATGCTGTCTCACTTGTGGAGGCTTGTTCTAGCTGCAGTGTGGGATCCTCTGCACTCCTGTGCATGAAGGGCAGACTTTTTAAGTTCAAAGTTTTTGTCTATCCATTGTGCCGTAAGACTTAATCATGCTAACGGGGCTAACACGACGTCCAAATGTCTGTGGTAAATCTCACCCAACATGTCGTGCTATCGGCTATTAACTTCTCAATGATGTCGGAAATAACAGCTTGTAACTTTGGTAACATTACGTCAGAAAAATATCTCCGACTGGGGACGATGTAGCGAGGCTCAACGTAGTCCATAAATCTTCAGAATCCAACATCCTCGCCAACAAAAAAGAAACTTCCACACCGCCGACATTTTGGATTTTCCTCTCCGCCGTGAGATCAGGTAGGCGCACGTGACATCATCGCGTTGTGCTGCCACTGCAGGCAAAAACAGCGCCTTTTATATCGGCGAGTGGTTTTGATGGAATGTCCGATATTGAAATTTAACGCCAATATCAGCCATGCCGATAGTATCGTGCATCCCTAAAACTAAATTTAAAAAAACTCGAAAAGCAACAATGCCAGGCTGTTCAAGATGTCTGACACAATTCTCAGTGGGCTTAGATGATCAGGGGAGCAGTTCACTGCCCAGTGTAAAAGTGTTTTTGTTTTGTTTTTTTTAATAGGATAGTGTTTGCTGAACTGCTATGAAATTTTGAGCTTGGAGTTTGTTTAAATTGCTCTTCTGTGATTCTTATTGCAAGTCCCTGTTAGCTTAACATGCTATCAGTTCCTCCCTTCACCTCCAAACTTATCAACTTCTACTAAAATAAGACAAGTAATCGGTACAACTCCAGCCTTAATCCTTTTTAACATCCATGCTACCTACTTATTTGCATGGGTGCAAATATCTCCCATGCTGCTTTTGTGTTACAATCAAAATGTTAATTTGCTCTTTATTTACAGCCAAATTTGCTCTTTTCACTTCCTCTCAGACTCGTCCCAGTTGCTCAGTTCTTCTGGACCAAGCCTGCCTGCGCAGAACCAGACCCAGAGTTCCGGTCACATGCAGCCCCTGTTGGATCAGCCCATGGCTCAAGCTGCCTCCAGCGTGCACAGCAACTTGCAAAACACCCTTCAGGCACAAATGCAAACCAGCCTAGAGAATGCAATGCAGCCAAACACACAAACAGCTCCGCAGTCCGGTTTACAGGTATCCTTAGAATCAAGTCTGCCAACTCCCATGCAGACAAGTCTACAGACACAGATACAGAGCAGCTTACAGAATCAAATGCAGGCTTCTATATCTACAACATCTAGCATGGATAAGTTTGAGGACCTGCTGGAAAGCTTACAGAAGCAGTGAGAAATGTTTGAAGAAGCCTTGAGGAGGCTCTTCGTTATGTAGCTGAAAGTTATGTTTTGTAAAATCAGCAAACACAAAGGCGGTGTCTTTGTGGCAATGCTATCAATCTTGAAGAAAAGAAAAACTAAAATATTTAAGAATAAAATTCCCTTTTACCTATAACTCAAATTATGAGCTTCTGTAACATTGTTTTTATATGATATTTATCGTTAATTCTAAGCTTCATTTAATGTTTTTGAGTTGTTAAAGCTGCATTTTAATTGTCCTAGCAGGGTCAAATGCTGTGTTTTGTTGTGAGTGTGTTTTTTTTAAATAATGCAAGCCTAAGAGGATGATATAAACATGTCAGGTTTGGTGGAGGAACTGGAAAGGGTGAAGAATGTCAGCAACATAAAAGCAGGTGGATTCAGTTAAGGGTTGAAACAGATTTCACAGTTGTGTTCGGTAAAGGTTGAATCTCAGTTTGAGTGTGTAAACTACCAGGTTTCACTGCACGATCAGAAGCAAATCTGGGAGTCGGGTCAGTGTCATTGTGAAGTGATGGTTGAAACAGGAAAATTAGGATTATTTGCATTGAAGCAGGGCTGAAAACCCTGGGACAACCACTTAATTTGATATTTCCCATAGAGAAGTTGCTCATTATGCAGTTTATCGGACATGTTTTTGCTTGTGAAGAACTATTGTAAAATCTAAGATTATAGATTGCTTAAAATATTGAATTCTTTGTAGATTAACGTGAGGTTTTGTAGAATATCTGCTGGTAGTCTGCACTTGAAGTCTTTCTCAGAGGGAGGAAAGTTAAACGATGCTATCAGCTCTACTCCTGAAAACTAAAATGCAATTCCTCACCAACGTGTGTTGTCAGAATAATCAGTTGATGCGAGAAAAGCAGAAGGAATATGACACAGTCGCAGATTAGGTTCAACCTGGTGAATAATGTGACTTGGCTTAGTTTTGGCAATTCTTAGTGTATTCATGTTTAGGCCTCATTAATGGGTTTACAAAAGCTTTCTTGGTGAACTTTTTAATAGTGTTCATTTGTGTTGTGCTCAGCTTTTTGATTCAAAACAAGCTGGTAACTTTTACCAATTATTTGTGGATAGGAAGCTGCTTTCCACTCGTGAAAAATAAAGAGTGTTGTGTGGTTTTATAAAAATTTTATCTCAAGCACTTTATAACCTCTTTTGTGTAAACTGCTACTCCTTATATCCTTCTGCAGCTCCGCAATGAACTAGCTGAATTTGTACACGGAAACGTCCAGTAAAAATACACAATCATAAGAAAAAAGTAAGAAAAACAAGAAAGGAGGTTATCTTTGTAGTGATAATTCAAAATCAAGCATTTTTACATTTTATTGTGTGAATTTTTTTGATTCCTCAACTTTGTACGGATTGCATGAGTTCAGTTTGAAGCCCTTTGTATTCAAGCTGGTCCAAAATCAGCCCTTCCCACAAAAGCATTTTTTTCTGTGTTTAAGTAGGCCTTTTTTTGTTTTACATGCTGATTAGACATTAAAATAATTATTTTTTTACTTTAAATGAAGGATTTTCTCCTTTTCCTGTGAAAATCCCTGTTAGTCCATCTCTGTGGACAGCTCCACCTTGTCTTTGTTGTTTGGTAATGTGTGCAGGTTGGCATCCATTATTTGTCTCTTGCTGTGATCTGGGTCTCACTGATAAATGAAATCTGTTACACAGAGGTAACCATTTTGATTGAATCTATGGTGCTATGTACAGGAGTAACAGGCACCTCTGCTTTGATGTTAGAACGTAACAATTTGTGGAGCGCTAGCTTTACCTTTCATTTCTCATCAAGGTTGAGTCTGCAGAGCTGTCTGTTGGGGGGTCAGACTGGAATGCACCAGGCGTACCAAAGCTCTTGCTGTGATTTGTTGCCATCTTCACTCCTACCCTTGCAAATGCCCTCAGTGTTTACTCAGTTTTATTAACGCATGCAGCTCTCCTAGTGATACAGTGGTGTTTCACCAGATTCATAAGACTTAAAGGTACACTTTTTTCTGTCCATAGTTCGTTTCCACCAATTTGATACGTACGCCATTTTTTCATGCATAATGTCTTTGCTGAGCTTTCCACGTTCAACAGTAGCCATTTAGGCATGATTGAAAAGCCAATTTTTAAGAATTCAAACGTTCAAGTAGTATTGGTCAAATGCATTTGTTTACATTTTCATAGTCGTGCTCTCGTCCTGCAACTAACTGTTGGTGATCCATTTTAAAATCTTTTATTTAAATTTTGTATCCATGTATCAAAGTGTAGAGTATTTTTGTAAAACTAAGCTTTTGTTGTTTATATGCTCATAGCACAGAAAATATCGATGCCGTGTTTCCTTGAGATGAAGAGCAGGTTTACTGTGAAGCGCTTGACTGAAGTTAGAAATGTATTTCAACAGACTTCAAACATGTCAGAAATGAGTTTTATTGTGACATAGTTTATCCAAACTGTGGAGCATAACGTGCGACTAAGCTTCTTGTATCTTTTTTTTTGTCATACTTCTCAAATGGCACTTTGACTCATCCATTTACTGTAGATCAGGTTAGAGTGCAGTCATACCGTTTCCAAGCATTCCATTCCTCTTGGTTGGGGAGATAAAGAGCACATAATGTTGTGGAAGAACTGCAGAAAGAGTTATGCCTCTGTAAGCCATACCGACACAGAAAGCCAACCTGTGACTTTGCTCTCATGAATGTAAATTTTACCTCATGGTGTGGACATGTGGCTTGGTCTACATCTGACATTGGGCCAATTACACTTTAAGAGATCGTATATTTTGAGGCAGAGGGAATAAAGTGTGGGGGGGGGTGGCACCAGCTGTTGCTTGTGTCTCTGTACATTAATCTTGTTTTGTGTTGGATTGTGGCGTAAACTCATGTCCAGCCCTTTTACTCCAAGTGATCCGGTATAGTTGGTCTTTTAATAGCTCCTTCCACTCGAAAAAAGAAAAACCTTGTTAAATATTGATCTAGTGGTGGTGAAAAGAGCACACAAATCTTTGTTTTTGTCCTTCAGTCATGTAAATGAATATCCATGTATATTTAAATGTGAAATATACTGCAGGGGTATCTTGAATTGAAATTGTGATGCTTTCAACAGAACTTTGTGTGCCTTGATAACCTAACTGTTGCTCTGCTGTGTTTACTGGTGTCCCTTTTGCTCCATCACTCCTCATCCTCTTGGATCTTCATGATTCTTAATCAGTTTCATTTAAGTTCCTGAACACCTGCTCGTACTGATGTTTTTTCAACTGATTACAGGACATCAGAACTTACTCAGCATACTGCGCAGGCTCATCTGTGAATCATCATTGCATTTGTAGTTTTCTATAGATACCGTTTTTCACGCCTCATGAGATTTATACAGGTGAGGTAAAGGGATGTGACATGGCGATTGTTTTATGGAGAACGTTCTTGTGTTGATGTGCTTTTCAACATTTCTGTTGCTGTGAAATGCTTGATCAAAAGGGGCAACTGTGGTAAATTCACTGTTCATTGCCAATAGTGTGAGCTGTCTCTTGTGCATAATCAGCTAGCTCACTTTCCCTAGGTTGCTTTCTACTTTACATCCTCCTACAGTTCTGTTGTATCAGTTTTGTGTAGTTTGAGCTTTAGTATTTAGCCTTAAGACCCTGCAGTAGGGATAAAGGTCAACCCCTGCGTGTTATACATTTGAACTATTATTAACATGTACTTTGCCTTTGTCTGGACATTTGTATACTCTGTTTATATCTGTAATCCTGCTGCTACATTAAATGAATTAATAACACTTTCAACGTGGATGAGTTTCTTTTCCCCACCTCTTCACCACTTCTCATGCCAGTATTAGATTATAAAAGTTTATTAGTCAAAACAAGTGTGCAAATTGGCAGCATTACAATAGTTAAAACAAATTGCGTCGAAGTTTAGGTTCACAGTGCACTCCGGCTTAATGTCTTTTGTACAGTCCTAAATGTATTAAAATTAACCTTGGTCACAGTTTGCTCAGTCTTTTATGCAGAAGGTGTTGGAAAAATGATAAAGGATCCTCGGTATTAAAGCCGGCATCAAACTCGGGTTTTTTCTTCAGAGCAATGACGGCAACTACAACCGCCAGCATGGCTGTCAGCCCCCAAATGTGGTACTGGCTTCTTGAAACGGGGTCCACAAAATGAAAGGAGTGCAAAGGCCCCATTACCCCAGGAGCGTTGTGAGTTGTGTAGTGGTCCTTGTCGCTGATGAAGAAGTCCAGTGGGACTGAGAACGCAGCGCTGACTTCAGCAGGGTTTAATACTGGGTGAAACGATTCATTGATGAAGCCGACGACCGGGGTCACCAAAAGGCCACTCTAATAAAGGAAGTTCAAGGTGATGTAACAAAAAGATTGGCCCAGTTGCTCTGATGGCGAGTTTTACTCAAGTGTTCTACCTTATTGATGACTGGAAACAGTGTGCAGACCACCTGAACATCATCAGGCTTCAGACCGATCTCCTCCTCCGCTTCTCGAAGGGCTGTGTCCACATCATCTTGATCACCGGGGTCTCTTTTCCCACCCGGGAAACACACCTCACCAGCGCTGGTCCTCAGCTACACAGACGTCAGTCAAAAATGGAGTTAAATGAGAAGGATAACTTCACAAAAGACATGTTCTTAGATTACCTTGGTTGAACGTAGGGTCATTAAGGTGTGTAGCCTCCCAGCCCTCACAAACAGTGGGATCAACACTGAGGCTTTGGGCAGGACAGGTAGGTAGGAGAACTTCTCTCCAATATCAAACTGCTTTAAAATGGCTACAGTCTCCTCTTTTGACTGCATTGCAGTTGACTGCTTTCTATCTGCACAAGGTTACAAAAACAGATTCTGAATTTAAACTTGATATGGTCCGACTTGTACAAAAACAACCAGTAGACTTAAGCTAATTTGTATCAAAAACTAATTTACCGGTACCTCTTTAAATGGAAAAAAAGTAAAAGGTAATTAACAAAATTAGCAGCCCATAGTCAATGACACCGGTATTCTTTGCTGCTCCAGTTCAGTTACGTGCTAAATATACGCAATAGTAATGTGAAAATAAATGTTTTTACCTTCTGACAAGCTAACGTTACGGAAGTTTTACCAACCTGCGAGTTGCGCATGCGTGTTCCCAACTTCCTTTTCGCGTAAGGATACTGATTGGATGAGCCAACTGCCCGTCTTCTCATCAACCAATGAGAGTAAGCATCGCTCCCACTTTGATTGGCCGAGCCAATTAAAGCACAGCGTTCTTCAGGAAGTGACGTCTGATGTAAATAGTCACTGACAGGCGCTTTACTAAACAAACTAGAAGCAGGTTTAGGACCGATGTGCTTTTTAAAGACATGAAATATACATTCAAGAAATAAACAGAAGAGAGATACAGAACGGGTGGTCAACATAGAACAAAACAAAATTTAAAAAGCCAAGAAAGTTCAATCTGATCCTCTGGACACATCTGGAATGCATCAGAAAATTTAAAAAGCATCCACAGTCGGTTCCAGACAACAAAACCAATAAAATAAGCAACTTGATCTTGGACATAAAACTGTAAAATTAAGCTTTTCCAAATTAAACATAAAATTATGAAGACTTTAAGCACAAAACAAGACGAACTGCTATCACGTTGACACACACAAAAAAAAACTAATTCAAATGCAAAATAGAACTAAAAAAAAATATATATATATAACAATGTTCAGATGTCTTACACATGTAAAATGATTTTAAAAAATAAATAAATAAATCAACTGAAGAGTGAAAAATAAAGGCAAATCACAAGGAGATTAAAGCCAAAATGTAAATAGATGTTCAATGAAACTGTTAATGTGCATTTAGATTTTGGAGTGTCTGATTTATGCCCATGTATGAATTACTTCCATCTCTCTAAGTCATATTTATCCCTCAAATAAAATGAGTGACATAAATGCCCAACCAAAATAAATGTTGCATAAATAGAATTTCAAATGTATTTTTGTTGTGTGCCAGATATAGACATGTTCATTCTAAAATGTGTTTTAATTATTGTCACGTGTTACAACACCCCCTTTTGTCACAATAAAAAAGTGCAACAGAAAACACAAGTCAAGGTTTGAGTAGGATTTATATTGCTGTAAACATGTTCTTAAAGAAAACATGATATATTAAATAATTTTTCCAGTATATTACTATTAAATTTATTATAAGTTAGGAGTTATCAGCATTTTCTAATAAAACCAAAATTAAACCTAAGGCTAGCATAAAGCCTGAGACATTCTTCCCAATCGTCCAAAAATAAATATACAGGTAAAGACATAAACTAGATGAATTGTTAAAATTTAACCAAAATATTCCCAATTTACATAAATATTCCCAATTTACATAAATATTCCCACTTATTATAAGGAGCAAAATAAATGTTTTTCTCGAAGTTTGTTACAATGCACAATTTAGAAAAAAATAAATAAGTTTCCAAATGCAGAAAAACTAAGGAGGTTGGTCACAGTGGTCCAAGTCTTTGGCGAGTCAGACATCATCTCTGCGACGCTTTGAACGCTCACATTTTGTACTTCTCCTTGGCTTCTTCTTTCAGTATACAGATGTGCTGTAGAAAGAAATGAAAGCATCAGAGATAAAGGAATAAATGTTTGATGCATAGCGGTCATCAAAGCATAGCATTTTATGATTAAATAGGATTTCATAGAGCAGGTGGATGCTTTTATAGGAGCTGTGTCTACAACAGATGTTATTTCCTCACTTGACTATTTAAAACAAGCAAACCCAGCAAAGAGTATGGATGCACAACTCAAATCTTTGATTCTGCAACATTACGAGGTTTGTTAGAGCATTTGACAGCTCCGTAGATGCAATAATTTAGACTTCTCTTGCATTTTCCCTTCCAAAACACTCATTCAGATGCAGTTATTCAGCTGTTTGACCAGATCTGTGGACGTTTTTTCAACTCCAGCATCTAGAGTTGCAGCTTCCTTCTGTTCTGCAGCCTCAGTGAAACTAGAAACTGGCTGAGCATCAACATTGCAGCAAATTTCCTCAAAGAGCACAAGAATTAGAGCCACAAAAAGATATGAATGTTTTTAGAATTCTGACTGTTTTCTGAAATTAAACTCAGAATTATGGAACAATTAATCCTAATTCTCTTCTGTAAATTTGTGTATTTTATTAAATTAGCCTGTTCTGATCAGTGTGTATATAATCATTTTGAAAATTATTTAGTAATTAAAAATGGATTTTAGCTTTAAAAAAGAGATACTTTGTCCAGTCAGGTTTCAAGTTCACATTTGGTCCAAGTACAGCTAAAAAGTTTTTGACCATTTTTTTTTGTCGTTTTGTGCTTTGGAAGTTCCTAACAAAGTGAAATACCCCAAAAGTATGTTAAGTCATTAAAATTTAGAGAGTGCACAAATTTCCTAATGCTAAGGACAGACGTTTTGACACTTGCTTTATTCCTGCATCTCCATTAGAAATCGATAACTATTTCTTGTAAAAGGATAAAACACATTTCTAACCCATAATTCTTTGCAGATGTCAAAGAACTACGCAATTATTTTTCACAACATTTATGTTTATTGGGATTTATTTTGATAAAACTGGAAACATTTTATAATTTAATTTTAAATTGGAAGCTGCTTCTTTAAAAAATAAAAAAAAAGGCTAAATTTTAACAGAATTTTACGATTTTAACATGAATATCAGTGAAACACTATGAACACGTTTTAAAATAGCTATTGTGATTTTTATGAAATTAACTTGAGCAGCTGTAGTTTCACCACCATAAACTCACTGTTAAAAGTTTAATCCTGCTGGGGGCCCGGTCTGACCTACTCTGAATTATAACCTAGTTTGGACCAGATCAGTCTCAGCTGCTCACAATGAGTGATCCCAGAGTCAACACCCAATAAGGAGTCAGTTTTGTTTTCGCTCGCTTCCAACACTTAGATTTGCACATCCCCCTATTATCCACAATCAGAAACAGATAAAACCGATGAGGTCACACAGTCACCCCACTGATACGCTCTTGATGGGTTGTGCTCGCCTGAATGTGAAGGTGAAGCCAAGGGCCAATATAAGCTGGGGCGTTCCGGTACATGGGGTTTCCGGTTCCGGACGGACGCCTCAGCGCTGAGCTTGTCATTTTTCCTGCCTTACCTACATTAAAAAGGTAAAAATAATTTACCTCTCTTGATTTTATTGAGCTCGTGTGAGTTTCCTCTCCACCTGGGAACAAAAAAAAAACGGAAAGGTGCCATGGTCGCACGGCCGACGTCACGTTTCACTTCAGTATCAGTGCGGTTTGATTCTAAATGTATCATTTCTCCTGGACCTCGTGATGATTTATGATCCTAAACGTGCCATCGTATTGACCTGTCAGTAACTGATCCTCTGTTAACAAACCAGTAGGTTGACTGGCGTAGCAGCTGTTCGTTGCTTACCGCCGAAGGGAAAAGTGCAATAATGTTTTTTGCTTGTGTGTACGAGTGCATCTATAGCAGGGCAACTCAACCAACGTATTCAGGGGGCCACAGTTACTGAAAGCCAGCTGTAAGGGGCCAGGCATACAGCAACTATGGTCATTAAGTAAATTTAGTCTAAATTTTAAAATCTAGTTTTATTTGGAATGAAATCGGCGGGCCACTCTGAGCTCACCTGCTGGCTGGATGTGGCCCCCGGACCACCAGTTGAATAGCTCCAATTTAGAGCACTGGAAAACTCATGAACCACTGGATAGATTTTATTGAATTATAACATTTTAAATTTAACATAAGAATAAATAGAAAAGCTTTGTGACTCAGTGTTTTGCTAACAACACTTACGCTGAGATCTCTGAAGTACTCATTGTAGTCCAAAGCATAGCCCACCAGAAAGGCATCTGGAACCTCAAAGCCGATGTCTGAAATGAATTTAAACACCATCAACGAGAGTTATTTAAAGAAAGCACGCTACTTAGTCCAGCAGAGGGGCAACGATCAGACGGTTAGTTTAATAGACCCTGTAGTGAAGTCGCACTTATTGGTCTTTTCCCGTTTCTGTGAAGCTGCGATGAAGTTGTCAGCTGTGCATTAGTGCAAAGTCAAAACGCTCACAGTAGCAGCTGTTCTTAAGGGCCGGTCTTAAAGAGATTATCCAACTCAAACCTAAAAGCTTTACATAATCAGACGCTGTGAAGGGAAGCCTATCAGGCTTGCATCAGTACATACAAATTTATCTTTTATTGTGGAGTTTCTTTAAATAAATATTAACCAGTGTGAACAATAAACATTGAATGCCTTAGCTGGAGAGTCTGAAACTGAGTTAAAGCTAATAAGGGCAGAACACTAGCTAAAATTAGCAAAATAGTAACTAGAAACTACCAGTGCATAGAAAAAAGGCTCTAAAAGCAAAAAAAAAAAAAGAGCAAAATCCTTAAAACTAAAAGTAGCAAATGCTAAAAGTAGTAAGAATAGCTAAAAATAGCCAAACGGCAGCTAGAAACTAAAAAGGAAAGCTAAAAATAGAAGAACATTAGCTAAAAATAACAAAGGGTTGGCTAAAATGACCTCAATTACAGCTAAATGTAGCTCAAGAGTAGCTAAAAGCTAGCTAAAAGTAACAACAGTGTCTAAAAACTAAATGTAATACAACTGTGTAGCCGAAAAACTAAAGATAGCGAAACAGTGGCTAGAGGCTAAATATGTAGCAAAACAGGAGCTAAAAGCTAGAAATAGCAAAAAAACAGTGGCTAAAGATTAAAGCAGCAAAAAGGTGAGCCAAAAGCTAACAATAACTAAACGCAAGCCAAAAGCAGCAAAGTGCTAGCTAAAGATAAAAAATATTTCTATTAAAATATAAAAATGGTTGAACAGTAGCTTAAAAGTTAAAGCAGCAAAAGGCTAGGTACAAATTTTTAAAAAAGACACTAAAATAGAGCAAGTATTCTGATGTAGATTTAAAATAAAATAAGAATAAAGATTTAGAAAAGTATACATTTGACAAAAATATATAAATAAGTCATAGCACTAAATATGCTGAGGTATTTGGATTGATAAAAATTGTACAGAAAAATAAAAACCAGGAAAACAGTTTTTTACCCCCCCAACTACATTACTAGTGAAAGGCATGAAAAGAGTTCACCACACACGGCTACATTATGAGGGAACAGACAATAAAACTGTACTCACAGTCTGGCCTGTACCCTGAACTTCTCGGGGTCCTCTTCACCAAGAGGCTGGAAAGAGATTTGAAGAGGAAAAACGTGAAAGACAAAAGGATTTCAACCTTTTCAGAGCAGATTTTAAAAGTACTTTAGCCTCCTGACCACACAAGTACTACAACTGCACTGGTCACCATCCAACCTCTGAGCTTAAACACATTCAAGTCAGAATAAAGGCTAAAAACTGCACAGTAAAAAAAAAAAAAAAATAGAATTTTATCATGCTTCTGCAGTGTTACATTAAAAAACAGCAAGTCATGTAAAGTAGTAAATATTGCACAACCTCTGCAGGAACAGGAATTAAAGCTGCATGGCTTGATACCAAAATAGCTAAAATGTCTCTTGAGTTCTGCTTCAATAAGTGCATCAGTAAGTGACGGTTAATGGAAGACATTTTCTTCTGTCTTTAAGCATAAAATAAAGCCTGCATTGGTTCACTTTTACCCAGCTGACAGGAATACATCAGAGGGAAAAAGCCTGTTCCTCCGCAGTGCAGTTTATAGTGCGTCAGATTAACTCTTAAGCCGTTCCCTCCCTCCGTCACATTACATCTCTAATTCAGTCCTATAGGAGAGTGCCCATTAGCTAAAAGCACCGTTGCATGCACTCTGTCTGAGGATATAGCAGCCAGTTATGGTTCCCTGCACTGTAAACGGCGTGGCCTCACCTCACAACTTTAACCATCTTGGGATTACATTCACTCAGCAGAGAAAGTAACGTCTGCATCGTCCTCCCCGTCTCCACGATGTCCTTTTATCACGGCAACACAAACAGAGAGACATTTGTAAGAGCTGGCGTTTATGCAGCTGGTGCTCAACGGAAGATGATGTCTGAGGAGACCGAACATTAAAAACAAACGAGTGCACGCACACACACACACACACACACACAGAGGATTAATCTGAATTTTCAATGCAAATCAATAAGCAGGGTTTAGACAACAGATGGAGGACTTGCTGAGTCACACAAGCCACTCCTATAAACAGCTGATTAAAAAAACAAAAACAGAATAAAACGTCTCCTACCTCAACAATTAAAACGTTCTGAAACAAAACACATAGGAGAGTCATTAAAGAAGCAGACGTGCATGAATTAGGGTGTGGTTATTTAGACAGACTCCAGAAGACTAACCTTGCCTGCGAGGTTGGAAAGTTCATCCCCACCTATGACTTTGATGCTGTTCATCGACTTATCGTTCTAAAAAAAAAAAAAAAAAACACAAACCCATTCTTTTTAGCGCCGCTGCTAGTTTGGATTTATATTTTTACATTTTCGATGCTTCGCACCGCAGCTGTGAATTTCTGATTTTAAAAGATTGTTCTCGCTGGCATTTTGACGAACGCGTCACACGCCTCACATCGGCACGACTGAATCCCCAAAAGGAGAAAGGCAGCTCACACAGTAGCTCTTTACTCTAATGAAATCCACCGTCAGCGGGACCGATTTATCGCTGTTGTGGTTGAGCACTTTAATGTAGTCCAGGAGGTCTGCGAAGAACTTGTAGCCCCCTTTTAGCACACACAAAGCCACGATGTGGTGTCCTCCCATATCCTGGATTATGTCACGGGCCAGTCGCTCCGTCCTGCAGCAAAGAGGGAAGACACGAGAAAGTGAAGCATCGTACTTCCTAAATTCAATGCTTCACTTATTAATCTCCATAATGACACAGTCTGACGTGCTGCAACAGGACAGGCTTTTCCTCTGAGGACTTTAAAACCAGCCATAGAGCTTCTCCTGCTGCAACATGCCAAAAGGTTAACTCTTCAGCTGTGGTTATGTAAACTGACTTGACAAAAAAAAAAAAAAAAAAAAAAAAAGAGGCGCACGCTAAAAACTAATGGGATAAAAAGACCAAATTTGTAAACAAATGCTGGGTCATATTTGGACCGAGTCAACCCTGGGTTACTGGTTTGACCCCGCAGACTGGGTTAAGTTTTCTTCCTCCATGTTGGGTTCAAATGACTCGTTAAAGAAACCAAAATCTGTTTAACTAGTTGGTGCTAGGCAGCTGGTGCTAACTACTAGACTACACGTTTACAAAAGTTAAAAATAGGGTAAACACATTCTTACAAGATGGTTTTACAGTCCAACTCATTCTCCAGGTCTCCAACTTTCAGAAACTGAAATAAACGGCACCGACTGGACAGGGAGGCACAGAGGGGACGTTTTGGACTCGATAATTAACTGAGATGTTCGTTCTACTAAAAGTGAACATTTAACAGAAATACACAAGCTCTGGTTTAAAGAAAATTATACAGAAATCAGTGTCAAGTTAAAGGAAACAAGGCTAGTGTTTTGGTACTTTGAGCTAGCCTTTTGCTACATTTAGCTTCTAATTGTTGAGCTCCTAGCATTAGCCTTTTGCTACATTTAGCTTCTAATTGTTGAGCTCCTGTAGCGTTAGGCTTTTGCTACATTTAGCTTCTAATTGTTGAGCTCCTAGCATTAGCCTTTTGCTACATTTAGCTTCTAATTGTTGAGCTCCTGTAGCGTTAGGCTTTTGCTACATTTAACTTCTAATTATTGAGCTCCTAGCGTTAGGCTTTTGCTACTTTTAGCTTCTAATTGTTGAGCTCCTGTAGCGTTAGGCTTTTGCTACATTTAGCTTCTAATTGTTGAGCTCCTGTAGCGTTAGGCTTTTGCTACTTTTAGCTTCTAATTGTTGAGCTCCTGTAGAGTTAGGCTTTTGCTACTTTTAGCTATTGTTTTCCTACTTTTGGCTTTTTAAAATAGTGTTTTGCTTCATTTATCTTTTAGAGTTTTGCTCCTTGAAGATTTCACTTTTAGCTATAGTCTTCTACAGAATTTAGCTTTTAGCTAGCTTTTGAAACATCGTGTTCAACTACCTCATTGCTATATATTTTTTTTTTTTTGCTAGCATTTTTATACATTTAGCTTTAAGATAGCCTTTCACATATTTTAGCTAGTGTTTTACGGTTGTTTTATTTTTTGCTTCTCATTGGTGTTGGGGGGGGGGGCGTAGCCTTGATTCAGTTCTATAGCTAATTTTAGCTGTTCTTCAGCACTCAGCATTCTCTAGTTTGTGTTAAAAAGATGTAACTGGGGTAAAAATAAATAAATTTAAGACAAATGTTAGTCTAAACATACTGCTAGTTTCACTTGAGCAAAGGTATATTTCTGTGTTGGACACATTTCCCTGCAGGAAAAGAAACACGATTCAGTCAGTTTGGACTCTTCCAAACAAAAAGATACAGCGTGCTATTAACTTGTATTAAATACTTTGTGTCTTCAGTGTAAAATACAAAAATATTTTTAACCCATCGGGTTCTGAAGCAGAGGTCCAGTCAGGTCGGATAAAAATGTCCGACTGTGAAGAGTGGCTCACCTCCAACCCTAACTTTCTGACCCAGAATGAGTTCTGAAAAGAAGCCAGCAGTTTTCAGTGTGTGGGCTTCACCTGTCCATGATGAGGCCGTGGGGGATGATCACTTTGTCCAAATCGTTCTCGTAATGTCTGGGGACACAGAAGAGGTCCAGATCGTGTCCCTTCTCGTCATCAGAGATCTGGGAGAAGAACAAGCAGCGGGATTAAATGCGGGTTTTTGTTTTTAAATCGCCTCCTCCCAACCACCACCTGTTTGTTGGTACCAGCACGCGCAGATTACCGCGGTCTCTAGAGTTAAAAAAAAAGAAAAAGAGCCTACAGAAGCCGAGGTGGGTCAAAACCGCACCCTGATAAATGATCACGAACCTGCAGATACGAAGCCATGTTTCCGGTCCGGTCGGTCTCAGCAGAGATTCATCAGCAGAGTCATGTTCGGGTTGGACCACGAGGAGAGCAGCTGCGTCTTCTTCCTCTGGGTTTCTGGACCGAGCTTTTAAAGCCTTGACGTTAGAATCCACCTCACCTGCACAATAATCCGAGTCCTCCCACTCTAAAAACCCAGACCCGGTTCGGCAGACAGCACCGACACTGAGGAGCTGGAGGGAGGAGAGGCTGCTGGGTGACGCAGTACAAAAAAAAACTTCATCCATGAGGTAACAACTCTGAATGCTCTGGAGCTGACTCATAATATCTACTTTTAATTAATAATGTATTAATCTGACCCATATGTTCAAAGTCAAACAGTCCAAAATGATCATTTCAGTTGATTATTATATGTGTAAAAAATACAATAAACTTTATGAAGTTTAATTTGTTTTAAATTTAAAATGTCTGCAATCCACCCAAACTGGTTAAAACGAAGGTAAAACCAACAAAGATTTCCAGTTTAAATCTTTGCTGATGACAATTTTATTTGCACTTTATAAAGTTGTACTGAGGTGCAGATCAGCGGAAAGTTAAAATCCACAGCAATACATTTGAACATTAAGCAAATAAAATAAATTTGTTTTGTGATTTATTTATTTTTGTTGTCATCTTGCATTCCCTGTGGTAAAACAGAATATTCAGTTTTAGAAAATATCTTCAAATGGCATTGGGGGAGTGGTGGCGCAGAGGTTAGAAGATGGGCCTGTGATCGGAAAGTCGCAGGTTCAACTCCCGGTACCATCAACATCAAAATGTGGGTGGAAAAGGTGAAACACCCACACCTGCCTCAACCCCCCCCCCCCCCCCCCCCCCATCTGCTCCCTAAACAGGTCTCTCTTGAAAATGAGTTCTCGTGACTCAATGAGACTACCAGGATAAATAAAGGGTCAATGAAAAAAAGAGTTTTAACACGTTATAGAAAACTGTTCATCAAAATGAAATTTTATATATTTTTTATCTTCCCACCTTCCTCCACCCTAACACCCCCAGACAAACAAAAATACCTTATAATAATAAACATCAATAACTGCTGAGCATCTCTAATAAACAAGGAATATTCCTCTTTATGCAGTCAAAACGATACAGCTTGAAAAAATATTCAGTTTGATAAAATATTACGATTCCTTATTGATTTTTTTTATTAAAGAAAACTGCATTCCAGCACATTCCAGTGGTTCCCAACCCAGGTCCTTGAGGAACACCATCCTGCATGTTTTAGTTGGTTCCCTGCTCCAGCGATTTAATTTCTTCATGTTCTGCAGAAGCCTGTAAATTCCCCATTAATTAAAATCAGGTGTGTCAGAGCAGAGGAAAACATCCAGGATGGTGTTCCTCAAGGACCAGGGTTGGGAACCCCTACATTACACTGCCATCTGTTGAGTATAGTGGTGGTAGTTTCATGGTTTGCGTCTACTTTTCTACATCTAAGGATGACTTGTCTTTAATGGACAACAAATTAAGGCAAACATATCTCTTTTTGTAATTTCCTTTAACAAGAGCTTAATCTGAGGTCGGAAACAGATGTTCTGACTAAAACAAAGGATAAAAGAATTGGCCAAAGGTACCGGTAAATTCTGACCCTAATCTGAGAAAAAAAAACCTGAAGCAGTTCCTGTGAGAAATCCATTAACATCCCAAAGCACTTTTTTTGTGCCCCAATAATACAAAACTGATCTGGTACTAGATTTTAAGTGTTGTTGAACATTGGGGGGGGGGGGGGGTACTTGAGTGGAAGCAATTAAAAAATAAACGCCAGGCTATACAGCGATGTGTACAAAAATGGCCGACTATATTTTTATTTAATTTTACCTAGGCAAATCTCACTGAGATCACAGAAGGGAGGCCTGTTAGCCAGTTCAATGTAAATATTCAACCATCTACCTTAACAAATCAAGATGTGAAGTATTGCCACGTCGTATGCTGGTTTATTGTTATACATGGCGTTAAATAAAACTGTTCAAACCTTTTGTCATTTTCATTCAAGGCTTTGTTCAGATAAACTACAATGAGCTCTTAGACAAATACAAATGTGTCTTGTCTGCAGTCTGTCTGTGATACAAAAAATGACCAGTTTGTATCAATTTATTGATAAAATAGGAACAGAATCGCAAAACGCAACTTTTCATATAATCCCGATTTAATGAGCGATACAGAAACGATAGCATTTCTACTCCATCTTACAAAATAAGCAACAGCGGGTGCTGAAAAACAACAAGAGCGTGGAAACTATGAGGACAGCATCATGTTCTCACAGTTCAGAACACCGGAGAACAAACATCATCTCTGTATGATAAGTCTTTGAGTGTCAGCTGTTACCATGAGGCCAAATCTCAAATGACACAATTCCCCATTCAGAGTCCTACTTTTAGTCTGAGACCCACATACAGAGAAAGCGTGGGCAGAAAGTAGAGCGCCGTTTGGATGAAGATGGTGCGATTTGAGAGAAAACCACAGCGGAGGAGCACTCATTTCTTCTTCTTCTCATCTTTCTTGGCACCTTCCGTCTTCTCCTTTTCCTTGTCTTTGTCGTCCTTTTTCTCTTTGTCGTCTTTCTTCTCTTTCTTTCCTTCCTCTTTCTCCTGTCCTTCCTTCTTTTCCGCGTCTCGGTTGGAAATCTTGTTGTTGATCAGGTTGTGCAGAGCCACCACGGAGCGAATCAGCGAGGCCAGGTAGACCACCAGCATCTGGTCGTTGGTCTTCAGGTAAAAGGCTTTTGTGAACTCCTAGAAAACAACCCATGACAGTCAGAACCCTTTTGACAAGTTCAAAAAGGTACATACATTTGGGCCTGGATTTTTATCAAATACAGCTACCAGCAGTTTTGAAGCTGATAGTTTTATTTTTATATTGACCAGGTATTTATTTGCCCAACACTGGTGGTTTGTCTCCCTTCAAACCACAGCAGAATCTACAATCACTGACTGCACAAAGGAAGAAGTTGTTTTTGTTTTTTTTACCATTTGTATTGATCCTTTACATTTACTGTAAATCTGAAGTACATGGTAAATGGACTGTATGGCACTTTTCTATCTAATCAAAATACTCAAGCCCCTTACACTACAACCTGCACCTTACACTACAACCTGCACCTTACACTACAACCTGTGCCCTCATTTACCTACACACACACACACACACACACATTCATACAGCACTCTACTAGGTCTCTGCAAAGCTAATCTGAATCTAGACACTAATCAGTGCTTTAGATCACATTCATACAACGATGGAACACACATCGGAGGCAATGAGGGGTTCAGTGTCTTGCCCAGGGACACTTCAACATGCGACTGCTGGCGGAATCAAACCCCCAACTCTCCCACTGGAGGACAACTGCTCTAACCACTCAGCCACAGCTGCCCGTCAAGCAGCTGTGATGTTAGATTTCTAACATTTTACCAACAATGTCAACAGTAAGAGCTGAACCTTTAATTTATTTTAAGAATCACAATCTAAAAATTGCACATTAACAGGTTTTGAGTTTTAATAACAAAAACAGAAGAAAAAAATCTGGTTTGATCATTTTAAGATTACTGAAATAAAAAGTGATAAATAACCTTACAGTTACTACAAATAAATGGAGTAAAAATAACTTCAACAACTTACCAGTAGGTTGACGTCTGGTAGCAGGTTGAAGACGTCCTGCAGCTGGTAGATGATCTGGTGGTTGATGGGGAGTTTGCCTGCAACCACTCTCTCCAAATAGGAGCGGATGTCCAGCAGCTTTGAGTTGAGTCCCTTTAGGCCGTGAACCTGGTTTGTGATGCGCTGAGACAGAGTACCAACTGTGGTATCCTTTATGTCTCTGTAGTCAAAATAAGACAGAAAAAGTGGGTGAACATTTTAAACGGAAAGCTCAAGTGCTCATTTGTGTGTTGCACTGCAGTCAATTATTTAATGGGAACAGAGCGTCCTCAAGAACGTGACTGCAGTTCAAAGATTTGTCTAGTACCTCAGCAGGTGCTCTACTCCCACTTCCTCTGCTTCTTCAGCTCCGATCTCACTGGTGACGTGTTCAAAAGTCTTGGATGTTGGAGTGCCATCCTAAAAATAGTGAACCCAGAAAACACAAAAATAAAACCTTATCTAAAAATAGAAATTTATTTTTAACTTCATTAGGCGTTCTTTGTTGTTGTTAAAATCTCACGTCATGTATTTCTTCCACAGAGATGTATGCTTCTGTGGGCAGGCCGAGATCTTTAGGCTTCACATCTATGATAACCAACACCTATGAAAATAGTTAAAAAATAAAATTAAAAAATTAAAGGTGTCATAGAGATGAACATTTTTAATACAAGGTGATGTCCAAGTACATAATAAATTAAATTAAAACAATTTAAAAGTTGCATACCGAGTTGGTACAGTACCGCTTGACGAGCTCATTGATGGCTATGTCGTTCTTATGTAGTTTGGGTCCTGTGTGGTACCATCCAACTATTCTTTCTCTGGCTGGAAACCAGCAGACAGTTATTAACAACTATGAATCTAAAGGTAACAATGACACAAAACAACTACTTTTTTAACAACAGTTTCACTGCCTTACCATTAACTTTCTTGAACATGCCATACATGTTCTCCAAGTAGTCATGATCCAGGAACCAGACAGAGTCGTCCCTGTCGTCTTCATCAAATGGAACTGCGAAGAAACACTGGTATCAATCACAGTTTGTTCTGAAGGAATAGTCTGACATACAAAACAAAGTGAACATACAGCAATTAAAAGCATTTTGGAGCCAAAAACTTTTCCAAATGTCTAGGAAGATCCTGGCTTATATAAAAATAAAAAATAAATATTTTAAAACAGAGCACTTTGCATTATTCTTTGACCAAAACAATAACTTCAATTGATTCAAAAAGTCAGGAAATAAGCCACTCTAAAGGAGAAACTTTGTGCTTTGATAAGAATAAATTGTATCTTTACATAGAAAATTGTTGTTTCTTACAATTTCAAGTATTCAAATAAAAAAAAATTAAATATTTGCAATGCTGTTTCTCAATCAAGTTAAACATTGATGGAGGTTAACACTAATAGATGAGCAAAACTGAATTAGTTAAAGACTGAGTTTTGCCTGAAATGACAGTAGCAGTTTGAAGCTTTATTTTTTTTATGTATTTGTATTTTCTTATGATTAAAATCATAATACTTCTGTTTTTAACGGTTTTTTTGTATTGTAAGCAATAATAGAAACTTGGTTACACCAATCATGTGTATTCATACACTAAGATATTATTTTTGTTTGTTTCTGATAGTCTGTACATAATCTTAGCCCTAATAGTTAGCTTTTATGTCCATGATGCTTAGTACCTACTACTTAGTACTTCTGTTTGTTTTTTTTACAATTCTAACTATATGTCGATACAAATAGTTTCAGGTTTTGTGTTTCAATAAATTATATTTTGTAGTTCTGGGTGCAGAAAACATTTAGCATCTATTATTTATGAATACAAAGTTCAAACTTGGTGACAGATTGAAGAATAGGTTAAAAAAATCGAGTAAAAACAATAAACACTTTAAAAGACAACGAAAGACAATTATTAACATTGAATGAGGTTAAACTAATTAGCATCAATTTTCTTATCAACGCCTTGATACTTACCTGCAAAACTATTAGAGACGTCAAGAACCTTTTTGTGCCATGATCCCAACAGGACACCAACCACACGTTTCTGGTTTCCAACTTTTCCTATCCTGTAGAATAAGTCATTAAAATTAAATGATGTATAACACGAAGACTAAGCTCGACTGTAGCAAATATTAAAACGATCAGGTCATGTTTTATGAATTATAATTAAAACAATTCTGTAATAACTATCACTGTGTTAATAAGTGAATTCATTAATCGCTCCTATAACAATATTAGATGTGATTAAATAATTTATATTCTGAGTTTACTAACGCTTTCAAAATGCTAACTAGCTTTGTCGTGTCTCCATTCATTTTCAATGGGGCTCTGACTCAGCACCGCTAGCAGTAGCCTAGCCTAGCACCAGCGCTACGTTTATGAACAATTAGACAACTAAGACATTACCAAAGCTGCACACAAACACTGCGCGCACTGACCTGTTAAAATGATCAACCACGCTAAGCAGCACAAGCGGGTGAACGACCACATTTTCCACTGCTAACTCCGGCATTTTTACTACGAAGATAAACAGCACACCACTTCAACACAATCGATCACGGCGCTTCACTTCCGGCTACGTCTTACGTCAGTTCCGTTTCCCTTGGCAACTCAAAACACAACCTAAACCTCAGTGCCACCGCACAACTCTGAAACACGGAGAGAAGATAAAAGGATAAACGAAAAGTTTTCGTCGATAGCAGCTCATAGACAAAATGGTGAGAAATATTGAAATGACCAAATAATTGTTTATAACTTCATGATAACAATAGCAATGATTATATTTCCCTTCTGTAATTGAAATGTTATAAAGTTTCTCTGACGGTATGGAAGTTCATTTGGTGTTGTTGCTTGATCAGCAGACTGATGTTGAAAACACGCTGGAGAGGATTGAAAACTATAAAGGTGTGATTGGAACAATTATTGTGAATTCAGAAGGTAAAAAACACAATATAATTATCTGGGCATTGATTATTTTAATTTTTGAAACAAGTTTACTATGAAAACAGACTTGTAATGTTGAAGTTTTTTTTTTTTTTTCAGGGATTCCCATCAGAACATCTTTTGATGACTCCAAAACTGTTCAGTATGCAGGACTCCTTCGCAACCTCACAGTGATGGCCAGGAACGTGGTCAGAGATATTGACCCTCAGAATGACCTCACTTTCCTCCGCGTCCGCACAAAGAAATACGAGATTATGTTTTCTCTACGTGAGTGTTTTTAACCTTTATATTATGATTAACTCTGACTTCAACAACAGCTGAAGACTCCTGGCTCTACTGTTTTCACTTTATCTGTGACTCTTTGTCTCTTCTCGCCTCTGCAGAGAACAACTATCTGATGATAGTCATCCAAAACCCATTTGAATAGCTGTCAGATTTTAAAGCCTCTGTCAAATCCCTGTTTTTTAATTAAGAGAAAGGAAAAATCCACATTTTTTTCTTTCATAACTGCTCATTTTCTATTTGGTCAAGTAGTTAACCTTTTTACTCTTGACATGTTGTATACTTTACCTGGCATACTGCCTTTTTTCTGTTTTATGCTTGTTGTTACAAATTAAAAGTTAAATAAAAATACAGGTCTATTTATATTTTTGTTTGTATTACCAGTAGTTCTAGGATTGCACCACTCAATGCATGTTGGAGTAGTAGATCTGCATCTGCAGCCATATTCTTCAGATCCACTGTGGGGATCCTTCCAGCCCACAGCCATCAGCATCTGTAACAACTCTAACGAAACCAGGATGATGAGCTACAACATTTAATTTCCCTTAAGGATTAATCAAGTATTTTTAAATTGAATGGGAATGATTAGTCCATGGTAGATCATCCCTGTTATTTTAGTGTTGTACAAATGTGGAATAAATTAATTTGGGAAATGTAAAAAGTATTACTAACTGTAACAATAAACAAAGTAGAAAAGTTCCTGGAGAAACTTTGACGGGTATTGACACATGGCAGCCATTTTAAATGTATGAGTTGACTTTACTGTGCGGTGGGAATTGTTGTCAGCTACAACTACAACAAATTACAGCTCCGTGTGTCACAAAATTGTGGTTGTGAATTGTACCCAACATTTTTCAGTCAGGTCATCTGGACAGTGTTTTTTTTGTGCTGAAACGTTTCACCTTTGGTCCGGAAGGCTTCATCAGTCAAGGAAACACAACAAAACTGATTCTTCCCCCAACAGCTTACTCCAAAGTGGAACAAACCAGTTCTGCTTGTGATAAGATGGTCTCTTTGGTACGCCCCTCCTCCATTGCCAGCTCTCTTCCTTGTTGACAGTCTTGTCAAACTGGTTGAAAACAACAAAGTCCATGCTCAATGATCATTGAACATTTTTCAGTCAGGTCATCTGTCCAGATGACCTGACTGAAAAATGTTGGATTGTATACCTGTATTATTGAGCATGGACTTTGTTGTTGTGAATTGTAGTTCAGGCCACATTAAAGTTGACGAAAAATTAAGATATACAATGTTTAAAGTTAAGAAACCCTTTTCAGGTGGAATGGCAGTCCCCAATGAAAACAGCTTAACCGGGGCCATTTCAGCGTTTTTTATTTATTTATTATTATTATTTTAAAGGGGCTTTATATGGCACTCAGCACAGTTGGGAAATGTTCAATTCCAAATTTTGCTCAACTTGCTAAAACTTTTATATTAAATAGTTAAAACAATAATTTGAACGTTGCGCCTTTTTAACCAGTTGAAAATAATCCTGTGTTAATGCAGTTTGACATTTTTTAAGATTGTATATAATTTTATGTAAATTTGTATAAATGATCTGCTTCTGTGTGAAATTAAATCCATTTTGTCTGAGTGTAAAACACTGACCTTAAAGTATCCAACAAACATCAATTCCCTCTGTTGCGGCCCGGTTTATTTTATGATTTGGCTCATTGGGTCCACAGCATAAAATGAGTGTTTAAAACGTTTTATAATAAAACAGCCCCTCAGCAAACCAGCACCAGGCAGCCGTCACAGTACCGCTGGTGGAGACATCCTCAGATACACAAAATAATCAGAACAAGATGTAATTTTCTTAACAAATATTTATTGTAAATTTCCATCAGAATGTTCATCAATATATATTAATAAATAATTCATTGCAATTATACAGCCCAAATAATACATCACATAACGACTGATTGAAGCAAATATTCAAGATTTCACAGCAGGTTTGAGGAGGTGACTGAGCAGGATGGTCAGGGGAGCTGCAGAAACTGCTACTGTACTTGTGCTCAAAGAGATTTTAATGGCTAAATGAAAAAAAAGACTAATAGTAACTTATCCAGCTTGAACCTAACTTAAAACCCTTAAAAGAACACAAGGAACGGTTTAACAAACGAACGACGTTGATTTCTGATGTTTGTGTCAGCTCTTGAGGGAGAATATTACGTTGTAGTTTTGAAATGAAACCTTTCTGTTTGCGTAACGAAAGAGGTCAAATACTTTTCATATCATCAAACTTAGAAATGTGTTAAAGTATTTCAGTCTGAAGATGTGAAGATTCCAGAAACACCAACTCTCAGATTTAACGAGCCTAATGACTGATATCTGTCATCTTCCAACAACAGTGCATCGTTTTTCAACTCCAACGTTTCGCATGACGACTTTTCAAAATACAGCCAATCTATTGCCATGGAGTTCCCACACATTTTTCTTCTGACCAGCAGCAGCAGTCCCAACAAAGCATATGGCTTGTCACAAGTTAAAGCAGTAAAACATACAAAAATCCTCACCTATCACAAGCAACGTTACAAATCAAAATGTCCAAACCTTTAAAAATGTAAATCATTTCCCATCAGACTTCAGATGCTCCCTTTGCCCCAGAAAACCTTGAAGAAAAACTCAAGTCTGAACTCGGAACACACAATATACCACACAGAGGACTGTCAAGTATTTACTCCAACTTCATTTTAAGTGCATCTTGTCAGATTAAGGCCTGAGGTGTGCTTTGATTCTTAAACCTTGCGGCTCAGCTTGACTCTTTTATTTTTGTCCAGAAAGGTTGTGCTTATGGATATGACTCGTTTCTGTTGACGGATGCGTTATTACACACGACACGAGCTAAATGATCAGAAAGCCGGCTCAGGTAGTAGGAGTTGTGCGAAGCAAAGAAGCAGTTTCACTGACTACGTGTTATCCATGCTCAGACTCTTGGACGCCATGGGCTTTGTGTACATGGCAGGTGCTAAACTGTCTCTGGGAACAATCAGACGGCATCGCTGTCTGGACAGAAAGGCAACAAGAACAGGGCTGGCTCCTTCAAGTGCTTCAAGTGTGGCGAGCAGCCTGGTTCTTGTTACAGTTCCTTCACTGTCAGAGGCGTGACCCTCACGTGACCCGTGTCAGAGGTCACCTTGGAGTGTACCCGTTGACTTGGCTCCTGCCCCAGTGAATGTTGGGTAGTGTCAAACACCTCCTGAAGTGCTCGAGCTGAGCCTGCAGTCTTTCCCGTTCCTCCCTCACTTTCTGCCTCTGACTCATCAGCTCCTGGGAAAAATGAAGGACAGGACTTGTTACAGAGATACAACAACACTCCTCATCCCTAAAACAAGTTCTCACAGAAAAAAAAAACTCATCACTGCTGATGACGCTGAAACTTATATTGACTAAAATGCAGTTTGAGGTTCTCACCCCCACAGTGAGAGAAAGCTGCTCTGCAGTTCTGGTCAGATTAAAATTCTGAGCTTCAAGTCTTTTGCACTGACTGTGAAGAACCTGCCGCTCTGTGGTCCACTCTGAAAAAGAGATAAATACAACTCCTGTTAGTCAACAGCCCAATAAAACCTTAGGACTTACGTTAAAGGAATGATCAGATAAACAACACGTACAAAACACAGGGAGAACAAACCTTGCAAAGACACGAGACAAAACCTGAGAAATGCATCATCCTTCTGTTGATCATCTGGATATTAAGTTTTCAGCTAATTGTGTTTTGGAAATCATCTTGGAGCTAAATTGTGTTACTTTTCATATTTTCTATGGCATAAACTAAATAAGTCAACTGTTTTGTGTTGATGCAACACTGGCTCATCCCTTGAGTTTAGGAACCTTTATGTCTAAATGATTCCAAGGTTAGAGATACGAGGCTTAAAAAAAAAAAACGTTCTTCTGAAAACGGTTTGAGCACTGACTTAAAAATGAATAAAAGCAGAAAAGTAAAAAATAATAAAATAAATATGAAAGATGTCCAGGAATAACTGCTGATCAGACCCCTTAAAAAACTACAAAGTCTGACTCCTTGGGAGCAAACCATAAAAAAATGAGGGAAAACTCAAGACTTTTGCACACTATTAAATATATAGTAGTTGTTTTCATACATTGCTTCATTTTTAAAATGTGTATCTTTTATCCCACAGCTCACATAATAAACTGTGCAGCTTCAACAGACGTCCTGAACAAATGTTGCCTTGCATCAAACTTGACCAGTAACTCTTTCAGATGTTAATCGTTGACATGAGTGTCTGAACCTGAGAACCGTAGCTCTTACCTCCAAAAAGACTATTTAAAATAAATAGAAAAGCTGTTAACGGCTCTCAGAACAGTTGTCTCAGGCTCACCGTCCACATACTCCTGATAGGCCTCGAAAACGGCTTCAATGCCCTGCCACTTCCTCGGAGCGTCCTCCACCTCCTCCTCTTCATCCTCCTGGCCCGACTCCTCTTCGTCTTCCTCAGACAGGCGTTCCCGTGCAGCCGGAGTGTCTCGGCTCGCTGCAGGCGGGTGGAAGTGGTGGCCGTTGACGTGTGCGTGCTGAGCGGCGTGATTTGACGTTTTCAGCTGAGAGACGCTGTGAGGCGGCGGGCGGTCAGACTTCCCTCTCACCTCTGGGACACAGTTTGAGGTTTCTGTGAAGAAAAGAACGGGCACGACAAGCAAGGTCATTTTTTGCAGCTGTATTTTGTGTGGAACAGCAGAATGTGGAGGTGTTTCACAGTGCGGCCACTAGAGGGCACAACTTTACCATTTTTATTAACATTTTTAATTAAACCTGCCACATGGGAGGAGCAGCTGACCTCTGTTGTGTGTAGACTGCAGCACAGCCTGGTGGAAGTGCTGAGCGAAGGCCTCCGGCATGAACCTCTCCCAGGGTTGACTCCGTCCATTCTGCACAGAACCGGGCTCCTTTTTCTGAGGAGGAGCCACGAGGCCATTCTGTAAAGTTTGGAGCTTCCTGCTCTGCTGAACCTCTGTGAGTTCAGGCTTTTCACGATGGGAGGTGAGCGGAGGAGGGATGCGAGCAGCCGGGGGGTCCACGGAGGGTTTGAGGGCATCGTTATGGAGGTGCTTGTGTTTGTGTAAGTAGGGAGGCGAGGGGCTGTGAGAGTCTGGGTGCAGGTGTCCGTTTGACTGAGGCAGCGGAGGAGCTGTGGAGGAGTCACCTAAAACACAAGCACAGTTTATGAAGGGGAATGTTCTGCAACCATTAAATGATCTGCCTGATTAAGACTCACCAGATGAAGGAGCAGCTGGACTTTTGCACAAAGCTCGAGGATGATATCTGATCGAGTCCAACGTCACAGTCTTCCTCTGAATGGCCCTCAGAAGCCCCTCTGTCCTCTCCTTATCTACAGAGACAGAATGACATCACCCATTATTCATTCATCCAATAAAAAAAACATTGTTCAAAGTTTTCACTGACTGATGTTTTTCAACAGAACACACTGGATTAACTGAGGTTTCACTAAGACTTCCCTTCAAAGCCATCGTTCTAACACAATTAGTCCAGCAGACATGTCCTTTGGTAACAAAAATGAGAAAAACGCTGATTTGAAACCATCATTATCTAATTAAACTTTTAATAATAAAACTATAAAGCTTAAACTCCAATTTAAATGAATTTTGTTTGTTTTACTATTAAAATAACTACCAAGATGTTTACATCCCAGTAAGTCTTAAAAGAAAAGTTAATCTTAAAAAGGCAGTTTTCAAAGTTGCTGAAATATTTTTATATTGAAAGTTTATGCTTTAAAAGCATAAAAATGATTTTTCTTTGACATTCTGCAGAAGGCTGGAATGTTCCATAGAAATATTTTTAAATCATCATAATTTTGAATTTACATTATCTTCAGTATTTGCATAAATTGATACTCTTTGTTACCAAACAACATTTTTGGTGAACTAATAAATAAGCTTTAAAATATATGTATCCTGCAGCACGGTGGCGCAAATGGTAGAGCTGCTGTCTCTCAGCGAGCAGGTACTTGGTTCAAACCCCGGTCCAGGGGCCTTTCTGGGTGGAGTTTGCATGTTCTCTCCGTGCATGTGTGGGTTTTCTCCGGGTACTCCGGTTTCCTCCCACAGTCCAAAAACATGCATGTTAGGCTGATTGGTAACTCTAAATTGTCCCTAGGTGTGAGTGAGAGAGTGAATGGTTGTTTGTCTCTATGTGGCCCTGTGATGGACTTGCGACCCGTCCAGGGTATCCCCCGCCCCTCGCACAGTGATTGCTGGACATGGGCACCAGCGACCCCCGTGACCCAAAATGGAATAAGCGGGTAAAGAAAATGGATGGATGGATGGATATATGTATCCTATTTACTATGCTAGCAGAATTTTCATGTGGATAATCGTCTGCCTCATCCTCCGGCTCCATCCATCCATTTTCTTTACCCGCTTCTTCCTTTTCAGGTCACGGGTCACTGGTGCCCATGTCCAGCCATCATTGTGCGAGGCGCGGGGAACACCCTGGACAGGTCTCCAGTCCCATCACAGAGACAAATGAGACAACCATTCACTCTCTCACTCACACGCCTATGGACAATTTAGAGTTACCAATCAGTCTAACATGCATGTTTTTGGTCTGTGGGAGGAAACCGGAGTACCCGGAAAAAACCCACGCATGCACGGAGAGAACATGCAAACTCCACCCAGAAAGGCCCCCGGACCGGGATTTGAACCAGAGCGACCTGCTCAATGAGAGGCAACAGCTCTACCACCACTGTGCTGCCCCATCCTGCTCCAGTTCCACCCAAACGTTATTTTCTTCTCACCCCTCCTACATTCTCAGCGCAAACAAAAAAGCTGAGAAAAAAACAGTCGAAGTCGTGTTTCTCCAAGGTGAAAAGCTGCAGAGCAGCACGTGGGATGTGTGTGGAAACTAAACAGGTCGTTACCTCTCCTCTGCTGAGGGCTGACATGGCTGAGGTTGAACATCAGGAGGAAGTCTTTTTTCTCCTGCAGCTCGGGGGTGCTGTCCATCTGCTCGGCAGAGTACGGGGTGATGAGGGAAGCCGTGGGCGTCGAAGGTGAAGCAGTTTTTCGTTTGCCCTGCACGGTTGGTGGAGAGATGCTGCGTTCTCTCATCATCCTCCTCCTCTTCCTCCTCATCTGAGCCAGAAGCTCGTCGCGACGGGCCTGGGTGGTGAGCCCACATGAGCGCAAAAAATCCACTTTCTTTGAAAGGAGAAAAAACGTTGGGGTGAAAATGTGGCATTTTCTAAAAAAAGGCCTAGTTTTCCTTGAATGCACATGGTCTGCTGCCAGTCAGGACAGAGATTTAGGCTAAAACCAGGACGTCATAAGAAATGATACAGTTGTAGCTGTTGTGGTCAAACCTTGAACAACAAAATATATATATGTATGTGTGTGTGTGTGTGTGTGTGTGTGCGTGCGATTTCATGCGATATTGTGAGACACTAAGAAGAGGTGAATGGCACAGTCAATTCAAATATTATCTCAATATCTGTGAAACCAGCTGAGTTACAGCCATTTTTACGTTGGATAATGTCCGTTAACGGTGATGGCCATCTTCAATTTGGGTCGACTCCAAAAAGGCGATCATTTGAAGGGGCACATAAAAAGAGTACTTACTGAAAGACTCGTTAAAATCTGCCCTGTGGTTCAAGAGATATTTTGCTGACTGACAAACAAGGTCGACTCCAACAGTTAATACTTGAGTTTTAAAGAAAAATCTTGTGCAATGGGTTAAACTTCAAATATGTGTTGTGAATGACTCTCAGCTACTACCACACCAAGTCCAGTATCTGTAAAACTGACTGAATTTCAGTTGATTTTGTGTTTGTTAAGGTCAGTCAGCTGTGCCGGCCATCTTTAACTGGATTTACTCCAAACAGTAATCAGTTGTAGAGTTACAGTTAATGATCATTTCTTAAAAGTTGAATTAAAATCAGTCCACTGGTTCATGACATGTTTTGCTAACAGACACAAAGAGGTGACTTAGTTATGGGTAAAAATTTAAACAAAGCTCCATTGCGATCTGTTAGATATCAGAATGTGTGTTGAGGATCAGTCTCAGCTACTACTACACTACATTTTAGGTCAATATCTTAAAGACTGGCTGAGTCATCACCCGTTTTTTTACGTCAATAAAAATGTGATTCTGTGTTTAAGCACCTCAGAGGATATGTCCAGTTTGAGCGGGGGTTGTTCCGTCACCCTCCTCAGATGAGCTTTTACCTCCTCCTCGTCGCTCTCATCATATGACTCATCCAGGTCATAGTAATAACCTGGTGGAAGCAGATTCATGAGTCGTTATTACCAGAAACTGCAGGCATAAGAGGCTTTTTAATGACACCGTCAGTGATTCCCTGAAGTGTCCTGCTCATAATGTCTCTGCCTCCCTCACCTCCTTCTCTGGCCTCCTTTCTCCTCTTCTCCTCCAGGTCGAGTTTACTGAGCAGCCGGCGGTGCTGCTGGAAAACCTCGTCGTAAACCAGCATGCTGTCAGGCGCGTGCGCCCGCCGCTCTTTTGTTAGTGTAGGAGAGGGCGCCTGGAACCGACCCCCCGGGTCACTCGGAGCAGACGCCGAGGGTCTGAGGTGGAGACTGTTGACGTGATGCCGGGGGTACATGCTCTGAGTGGCTCGCTCCTGTTCGGTCTTGGTCCACAGTTCCGTTAGACTTGCTCCTCTCACTGATAGGTACCTCTCTGGGCTTTTGGAAGTCCTCTTGGTTGCATCATCTATCCTCTCCCCCCAGTTCACCAGAGGTCTGTCAGCTCGGGTCAGACCCGGCGGCGGGCGACTGGGTGGAGTGGATTTCCTGCGGGAGTCTAGGGACGGCGTGTCGACGAGGGAAGCTGGGTTCCACAGTGTAGTGGGAGGAGCAGGAGGGGGAACTTTGGGGGAAATGAGGGGTGGCGGAGCACCGAGGCACGGGGACGCATCTTTGCTGCCCAGGTTCTGATAGACTGAACTGGTTCTGTTCAAGGGAAATGTAAATAAGAGACATTTAGATTATAACACATTTCTATTTTCTACAGCTAAATGATCTGACATTCTTACCTGTGGCTGTCTCTTCTGGGTTCCACACCTTTCCCAGGTGACCTGAGGCCCACCACCAGAGGGCCCTCCCTCTCCTGGCCATGTGCCCGTTGCCGTGATAACCACGCCTCGTCGCTGGCTCTCTGTGACATCATGGCGGCTGCCAGCGCTCCGTGGATCCCTGCAGAGGCACGATGCTTCCCCAGGTGAGACGGCAACAGGCTGGGCATGGGGTGTGGGACAGAGGACCTGCAGGAGTGAAGTCCAGGCTGCAGGGACACGGGTTTAGAGGCTGGGAAACTCGGGTGGTCTGAGTCCTTGTTTTTATCTGGGAAAAAAAAAAGGAAATCAAAGCAATTAACGTTTACAATGATAACTCTCATTATATTCATTTAACACCTGTAATGATCACTTTTTATAGTAGATGTTTTAGTGTAAAAATACAAAAAGGTCTCATCATCCACTGAGGAGAAACTGTTAATTTTCTTTTTATTTTAATATCTCTCATGCACTTGATATGTTGTCTGAATGTTCACTGATAAACCAATCAGAAAGTACATAAACCATAAGAATTTGTCTTTTTGGAGACATAAATCTTTACAAATGTCCCCACTATCAGTTTATTTACTTACAGAAATAGCCAAAATGACCAAAAGTGGATGAACAAAGGCAACGTCCACACAAAAGAAGTTTGTGATGGTGAAGATTTTCATGAATTAGTACTTATTCACGCTCAGATTTGTTGAGTAAAGTCGATGATTTTCTTGCGGCTGCTCCTCAGCGGGGGTCGTCACATTGAACTCACACAAGAGATGTGGTAAGTGTTTTACACCAAATACTCCTCTTGACGCAAACTGAGTTCGAATTTCAATTCAATTCAATTTATTTATATAGCGCCAAGTCATAACAGAAGTCACTTCAGGGCACTGAACAGAAACATTCATATATAAAAATAATAATTTAACATTATTTATCTGAGGAGCAGACTGCTTTGAGTTTAACTCCATCACAGACTCTCATCTTGAGCAAGCATGAAGGCGACAGTGGAAAGGAAAAACTCCCTCATGAGGAAGAAACCTTTAGCAGAACCAGGCTCAAGACAAGTGGCCATCTGCTTCGACTGTCTGGGTTTAAGAGGACAGGAAGGAGGAACGGATACACAATGGCAGGTCAAGAATCACATGTTAAGATAGAAATAATATCAAATGAAAACTATTCAATTTTAACAAATCATTTAAGGAAATGAGGTCAATTTGTCCTCCAGTAGTCTAAGCCTATAGCAACATAACAAGACAATCCTAATTCCAGTTAAGACTCTGGCAGCAGCATTTTGGATCAACTCATGACTTTTTAAAGACGTTTTTGGACACCCAGATAATAAACCATTGCAATAATCCAGTCTAGACTTGACAAATGCATGAACCAGGTTATCTGCATCGTTTTTAGATAAGATGTTTCTAATTTTAGTGATATTATGCAGGTGGAAAAAAATGGTTCTAGTAATGTTTTAATGTGGGGGATAAAAGACATGTCCTGATCAAAAATAACAAAGATTTTTAACATTAGAGCTGGAGGCCAAATTAATGCCACCCAAGGAGGGAGAAAGACTGAAAAATGTATTCCTAAGATGTTCAGGTCCAAAAACTAAAACCTCAGTCTTGTCAGTATTCAAAAGCAGAAAATTTAGGGTCCGCCAGATTTTTATGTCTTTAAGACATGATTGTAGTCTAAGTAGCTGATTGGATTCATTGGGTTTCACGGACAAATAGAACTGTGTATCATCAGCATAACAATGAAAATTTATCCTATGCTGTTTAATAACTACCTAATGGAAGCATATATAAAGTAAAGAGTATTGGCCCAAGCACTGAACCCTGAGGAACTGATTGTTATTTAATAATTTAATACTTTTTTGCCTGTATACTCAGATAAAGTACTACTTTAAGATTTTTGTGCTTTAAAAAAACCAAAAGTTCAATACGTTACAAGTCAGTGGAATATTGTTGGGATAACCTCCTGTTTACCCCCTCCTGTTTACTCTGCTCACGTATGATTGTGCAGCTACCCATCCAGGCTGTCACATTGTAAAGTTTGCAGATGATACAGCGGTGGTGGGATGCATCACAAACAATGATGAGTCCAGCTACAGGCAAGAGGTGGAACACCTGGAGAGCTGGTGCAAAGAGAATAACCTTCACATCAATGTGAAGAAGACAAAGGAGATGACTGTGGACTTCAGAAGGAACAAAAACATCTACACCCCCCTGAACATAAGAGGATCTGCAGTGGAATTGGTCTCCAGCTACAAGTACTTGGGTGTACACATGAATGACAACCTCAGCTGGAGCAACAACACCACCAGCCTGATCAAGAAAGCTCATCAGAGACTACTTCCTCAGACGGCTGAGGCGAGCTGGTCTGGGAAGCTCAGTCCTCACCTCCTTCTACAGGTGTGCAGTGGAGAGCATCCTGTGCTCGAGCATCAATGTGTGGCATGGAGGCTGCACAGCTGCAGAAAGAAAAGCTTTGCAGAGAGTGGTGAAGGCTGCACAGAAGACTGTCGGAATCAGCCTCCCCACCATCACAGACATCTACACCTCCAGATGCAGGAAGAGGGCTACCTGCATCATGAAGGACCTCACTCACCCAGCACACACACTTTTTGCCCCACTCCCCTCAGGAAGGAGGTTAAGGAGCATTAAGTTTAGAACCACTAGACTGAGGAACAGCTTCTACCCTGAGGCTGTTAGACTCATGAATCTCTAACTAGAATAATCACTGTGAAAAACCATATCATGTTGCTGCTGATCTGTTTCATGTTGCTGCTGATCTGTTTTAATGTTGATGTGTTCATGCGTGCACATCTGCTCACAGACTCATGTTCATGTTTGTGCTGATGTTCATTGTTTTATGTTATGAGTGCTTAGTGTATATTTAGTTGATGTTTTTCTTAGTTCATATCTTAGATGTTATTACTGTTTTTCTTAGACATTTTATTGTTGGATGTAACTGGGACCCCGTGTACATAATTTCGCTCCACCACATGTACCACATGAGGTGCGAATGACAATAAAGAAACTCTGACTCTGACTCTGATAAGAAACTGTACTGCAAGGTATGATACCAGATGATACAACAGTATACTATACAGGGTTAATCGTTTGGAAAAACTAGTTTTGAACTCAGATGTCACCAGTAAATTTACCTCGACAAAATATTTCTTAATATAAAAACTTTTATTGTAAATTTACAAAACAGCAAACATGAGTTACTAGAAAGACACATATTTAGTGTAGGTGAAAGCAAGTTATATTAAATATTGTAAATAGGTTGGGGGTTTGAAAACTGTTCTCATTTAAACCTTTATGGTGAAAGATATGAGGTGTGTGTGTGTGTGTGTGTGTGTGTGTGTGTGTACTTTGTTTTTGTAACCTTTCTTAGGACCTTTCCTGGTATAAGCACCTACTTAGCTAGGACCAGTAGTCCTTTGAGGACCAAAGACTGGTACTAATATGGCAAAATGCCATTCTGGGGTAAGGGGTTAGTTTTGGGAATGGAAGTCAATACACGGTCCTAATAGGAATAGAAATGCAAACTTGTGTGTGGGGGGTGGGGTGTACCTAGCCTGTTCGGGGTCAGCCTCTCTCCCGGTCTGGCCCTGTCCTCCGGTGCTGCCCTCCGAGCCTGAAGCTCAGCCAGGTAGTGACCCTCTGCCGCTCTGACCATCTGCTGCTGTCTGTCCCTCTGTCTCTCCTTCTGTCTGTCCAGCTCCCTCTCACGCTCCTCCTCCCGCTCTCGCTCCAGCCCGGCCTCGCGCTCCCGTTCCTTCTCTCGTTCACGCTCCTGCTCTCTTTCACGCTGGCGGAGCTCATTCTCCATCTGTAGCCTGTGAAGGAGGTTGACGAGTATGCACACACACGCACACACAAACACAAGGAGGAAAAAAGTGAGAGATGCAACACCCAACATGAGGCGGACATTAACCACACACTGGTGAATCTCACACAAACATTTCTGATAAAACAGACAAACACAAGCAGAAACACACACTGGTGAGGACACACAATTTCCATTTACCACAAGGAAAATAATCCAGACGCAGCATGACTGAGCAGGAGCAGATGAACACTTAATAGGTATCCACAGGAGTATGACGAAAAGAAACACACACACACACACACTCACCAGCAATCAATAACACAAACAAACCTTGGAGATGCGCAGGAGCTATTACAGAACCAGAAGATAAATACCATCCATTTCAAACACAAACATTCCCTCTGTGCGTCAGGCCGCGGGGAAACAATGTGTTTCGTCAAACTGGAAAAGGAACTCAAAGTGCTGAGAGGAAACGGCACAGAGGTGGGAGAGAACACTGCTGTGTGTGTCAGAGACTTTGTGCATCGTTTGTATATGCATTTGTTAAGGAGTACAGTGTGTGTGTGTGATAAGTGCATAGAAGGCACTGTGGGGTGTGTGCTAAAAATATCCCACACACTCAGCAGCCTGTGCTTACCCCTGCAGAGAGATTACGAAGCTTTAAAGATGGAGAGGAAGGAAGGAAGTGCGTTACCTGTCAGTAAAAGCCGTGTGGTTCATTTCTCCGGGGTAGCGCCCTCCAGAAAGGTGTAACTGCAGGGCAGAGGGGTGAAGAGGAGGGAAGGTGCCTCCTGCAGGAACAGAGTAGAACTGCGACCTCAGCGCTGAGAGACACAAGGACTCATCCATCCTGCTGACAGACAACAGAAAACCAAGTTACTCGCGCAGAAATAATACCATCTCCCGTTTTGAATGTGGACTTTTAACGAGCCGCAGCTTTCGAAATTTCAAAGTAAATTGGAAAATTTAGCTTGTTAGACCCAAAGGACTGGTCTTCTTTCAGCTTAGCCTTAATAAAATTAACACACAATTGTAAAAATCAGCTTAGTTTCTGGATTATGTTTTTCTTCCTTGCATTTGAGGTTTATTTGTTTTGGCTTTTAGAAATGACTTCAAGCATTTGCAGTAATTTTCCTAATGCAGTGCTGCTTGAAGCTCGGAGGATCGCAACCATTCAAGTGTTGGTGGTCAGCCCTTTGGCCTGCAGATGTAATTATTGAAAACACCGCAAAACTTTTAACAAAATTATTTACATTTTTATTGTTAACCTTAGCACTGTCATTGTACGCTTTTGTTGTGAGCAGGTGCGAGATATCTAACCTGAACTGAACTGAGCAGTTTGTCAAAGACCCACATTTCAGCAAAGACTAATGTTGTTACCTTGGTAAGGACAGAGGGTGGTGCAGGTAGGCAGGGTGATAGTAGACAGCAGCAGCGTGAGCAGCCATGGCGGGGTCGAGGCTCAGGGGCAGCGAGGTGAGTCGGAGATCATCTGAGGTGGCGAAAGGCCGCAGAACCCTCAGGTATTCTTCTGGAACGGCACTCGAGGGAACCACAGAGTGCATCTGCCCAGGCAAACTGCAGAACAGGCAAACTCAGAATCCCTTCAGTTTCAAAGAAGTGCTGCATGAAACATTTAATCAGTCCAGCCACACTCACCTTATGCTCTGTATGCGGGGGTCCTGCATGATACTGCCGGGAGTGTGGCCAAAGGACTGAGCCAGAGGATGAGGGGAGGGGATTGGCGGCGTTCGCCTGTCCTGCTGCAAGTGGCTGTTCTCAGCTGCTCCCCGCTCCCGTCCCTGCACGATGGACTCAACCTGACAAGGAGACACAGGAAGCGTGAGAGAGGGGATTACTGTGTGTATTCATGAGGTCTGTGTGTGTGGGCCAGATCTAAAGTGAGCGAGGAGTGAGGACTAGAGTGACTTGATGAAAACATCCAAGATGCAGCGGGAGGCTGAGCGGAGCGAAACTGGGTCTGATGTGTCACGAGTCAAGAATAAAGTGGAAAGATGGTGGTACGATCTGACCGACTCGCTCAGAGAATCTGGATCCCAGCGCTGATCTTTTTACTTCCTTAGCTTTGCTTTGTGCGGTCCTCACACACCTGACTCCACTTTCTAATTCCATTTGCATCACTTGTTCAGTTTAGTTTTTATCTTTCTCATTAATATTCCATAACTTGTGTCTTTTGCCATATCTTTGTTTTTGTTGTGTGCATTTAGTCCTACTTCATGTTTATTTTAGGGATGCACGATATTAGATTTTTGGCCGATATTCGATATGCCAATATGTTAAAACTTATTTGGCCAATAACCGATACCAGTACCAATATTTTTTTCCCCCTAGACCTACTTACAGAGACTGCATAGCTTTCTCTGTTGTGGAATTAAAATACTACATTATTCTGCATGGTCTTTGTCAATATGGTCTGCTACCAAATGCAGATGCCAAAAAGGGGGCTGAAAATGATGTAACGCTATATAAATATATAACATATATTTTAAACAGCGCCTTTTATAATGGTGAGTTATTTTGATGGAATGGTCGATGTCCGATATTTAACTTTATCGTTAATATCAGCCGATACCATGCTGATAATATTGTGCATCCCTATTTTTGAGGGTGGTTAGGCTACGCTCTCTAGATTCCCTGCCACCGCAGCACTTTTCTTGTTTTTTTTTAATAAAAGTTATTTTCTTTTTTCAGCCGTCATCTCCTAAAGCTCAGTCTGTGTTTAGGTCCTAAATTACACACGTAATGTGACAGCCAGGACATTCCATTTGATCTTTGATTGTTTAGACTGAAATTACAACCTTTAAAATCACTACCATGACTTAAAAAAAACGGTTTGTTTTCAACACAAATGTAAAAACTGCAGTAAATAGAAATAAGAACTTCTACCACAAAACTGTGTCCCTCGTTTGGATTTCTATCAGTTTGCTTTGTATGGACAATGATACTCTTCCATGCTCGCTAGGAATGGAAAAAGTGCCAAATTAAAGGCCTAGTATCTCTTTTAAAAAATGCATTTCATCCACTGCCTTACAAACTAGAGTTTAAGATAATCTATGATAAAAAAAAAATGATGGGAGTTGTAGCTTTTTGATCAAACTCTAAATATAAATCTCATTTTGTAATACCTCAGGTGATCTGTTGGTGCTCTCTAATTCACTCTGAGCTTCTACCGCACCAGATTTTAGCTCAATATCTGTTAAACTGGTTAAACTGACTGAAGTTTAGCCATATTTGTGGTTACTAAGGTTAACTAGCTGTGGCGGCCATGTTGAACTGAGATGCCTCTAAAAGTAAATCAGCTGTACATCTCAACCCGTTACATAATTTGTAAAAGTTTTATTAAAATCAATAAGGATTCAGTTTTAACATAAAGACCACAACAATGACAGTAAATATGTTTACAGGGACTGATTTTTGGGGGGGAGGAGTGGGTGAGTAAGGATAATAATTGTACCACATCACCTAAAGAACAACGTTTTCCACTGATGCATTATATGCTGCTCCTACAGCAACAACCTGCGAGTCAGGTTGGGCTGACCACGGTCAAACCACAAGCAAAGGGCCTCTCTGAACAACGCCTGATCTGCTACCTTCACTTTGAACAGCGCATGATTTGCAGAGAAATACCGGTGCTTTGAATACGTTTGAATAGATTTGGATATGTTCCTCATGGAAAACAGATTCAAACCAGCAATGAACAATCTCCTCTGCAATCTCTGCTGGTTCAAGATAACACAGGAAAGCAGCGCAAGACTAGTCTGGACAGCAGCCATCACGTCCTTTGACCTTTGACCTTACAGACAGCCGGTGGCCTTCATAAATGCAGCAACAAACAAACAAACAGTCCGTTTCTTCTGCGCAGATTGATCGGGTCTGTGCGGAACGGTGACACTGAATCCACGCGAAGCTCCACAGCTCTGCCCTTCCATCCTGTCTTTGCATCGTATTCTGTTTTCCTGCCTCCCTCCCTTCTTCTTTTTCTTCTCTCTGAATGTCTGAACTGGAGCCTCGGGCAGGCAGAGCCCACAGAGTGCTCTTTGTGAAGGGGGG